TATAATATATATATATATATACAGAATTTTCATTCAGATAATATAAATCACAGCAGTAATGTCGAAAGCAACAGCACATGCAAAATGGAAGTGGATTTTGTTATTCGCATCTTTTGTTATTTTATGCGCTAAACGTTGGTTGACGACCATGTTGACACAAATTACAGTTTCATGGTGTTATTTGTACACATCGAGTCATGGATTATACGAAAAATAAACTTTTCTTTTTATCTGCTTAATTTGAAATATTTTCTTTTCTTTCTTAAGAAAATATCAAACTTAATGTAGTCAAACTTAATAACATACATACATATATATATATATATACTTTTATAATATAAATTCATAAAATTACAGCGTAAGCCGCACGTAATTCAAATATAGTGTTAATAGAGAAACCAATGCGTTTCCTCGATAGACAATTAATTAATCGATAGTCATTGATAAAGCAGAGAAAGGAAAACTTGCTGGGAGCATGCAACAAACGTTATCTCTATATTTAAAAATTAGGATCAGGTATAAAGTGATATTAGACGTTATAGTTATAATATATGACCTCCAATCTGTACTCTATGTTGCAAGTGTAACGGTGAGTAGAAAAATAATGTCAATCATATGGCTAACCGTACTTGCTATGAAAGTACAAACTATAGTACATCATGGAGTTAAAAAATATGTGTTTTCAAACAAACACGATAGTTTTTAACGACGTGGAATGTTCATCGTTTCATGTGGTAAACCCTTGCACAAAACGCAAAAAATGGTCTCGCAATCAGATCTTTTTTAGTTAACTTTCTATCTTGACTTCCCGCGTCATGTAAATATTAAAGTCGTGTACATTTCGATATATAGATAAATGTTTCCGATATGGTACATTAACAGTGAGCTAAGCACCAGACAAAGGTATTCAAATCAAATATATTTAGAATTTACTCAAACTATATATGGTCCTCTTCTTTGTTAGTTTGTGCTGGTGTTGCCGGTGTTGGATCATCATGAAACAACGGGTTCTTCACCTCCATTTCACCGGTCTTGACAAAAACGGTAGATGCAAACGGTAGATATAAATATAAATGTCGTTTATTCAGCGATTAATTTTTATAAACTAAATAGATATTTAACTTACAGCAGCTAATCCTGGACATTCGTAAACGGTGTAGTCCCCTTCCTCGTTTTCTTCCTCGCTTTCTGCTTCAGATACAGAGCCTGGATCTCTGGTTGCAGAAACACGACTACACAAATCATTATCCACGCAATACTCTCTAGTTGGATTGAAACTTTTTAAAAACCACTTTTTGACACTTTCGAAAGTTTGACAGAAACTTTCACAAACGATTTCCTACGCCTCGAATTTTTTCTCGAAGAAGAATGGAAAGGAGAAGAATGAGATTCGCTATTCCAAACGTATTATTTGAAATCAACTTACTTTTCCATGGCAATGATTTGTTGTTTCTGGTGTTGGAAATGATACATTTGAGCAGACTGCGCGAGCCTTTGGTCTCCTGAAGGTGATACCTCTTTATTTGGGCCAGTCACACCGTAAGCTGGATATTCTATGTCAGCAGCCGCTTTGGCACCTCGCTTTAACCTATTGAATATATAAAATTTACAAGTTAATTGTGTCATTTGTCAACGCGAGGCGTCATTCATTGCTCCACTACCTGCACCATGTCAAAGTGATTAACACGAGGGCAAACATTGCTGCAGCGCTGCAACCGGCAACGACAGCTAAAACGAAAGAAAGAAACAAACTTTACATTCCGCGTGTAATTCCAAGAGCGGATTCAGGGAGAACCGATTAGCTTACCAATAAAATATATATCGTTATTCAAATCCTGGTTCACAGGCACAAACATTGGACTGTACTCCGTGCGTCGTTCCAATTCTGGTATCAGAATCACCGAAGTGTCCTTAAACTTCGAGTCCATGTTCCTCGGATTTTCCTGTTGCACCACGTGTACGTTCCCTATCATTGTATCCTCTTCCTCCCGCTTTGTACTATTCATCGTCGCTTCCTCCAGATCCGAGTTGCCTTCGTCATCTATTAGTCGCGGCAAATATACGGAAATAACAAAGAGGCAATTGCTGAAATTGCTAACATCAGTGTAAATCGATGGGATATAATAAGCTTGACGTACCTACGAAAAAAGGACCGTCCTGATAATATCTCGGATCATCGGGCTTCACCGCGAACTGATATCTCTCGTGCAGATTCGAGTCGAAACTGAAATACGGAGTGGTCGTTTGCAGCTTTTGCGTCTGCACATCGGCTTTGCCGTCCTCCTCGTCGTAACTTCCGTGAAATTCCAGCGGTTCCTCCTTCATTCCCCTGTCGAAGTTGACCTCGTTGTAAGACAAGTGTTTCAACAATGGATTCTGATCGTATCCGTAGTCGTCGTCTTGGAAGTTCGTCCCATCTTCCTCGTTCATCTCGCGGGCGAAATGAGGCAACTTATAGCTTGAATACTCCCAAAAATAACGTTCCCTCTCCCGCGGTAGTTCATTGATCGGCTCGTTGTATCGGGTTTGCCGATAATTCCATCCTTTCGGTCTTCCTTTCTTCAGGGTTTCGGCCTGGAAGCTGCCTTTGTTGATCAGAGCCTCGAGGAGATCCCTCTCCTTTTGGCGATCCAAGTCCAGACGATGCTTCTTGTGAGCTTGGTTCGCCAACAGCGAGAGAAAATGGGATCTCTGCCCCTCGAAGTACTTCATCAATTGCCTGAGAGCGAGTTCATCTGAAAAGAAAAAGAATGATCGTGTTATTGTACCTGTTTGCAACCGTGCATCTCGAAATCAATTGTCCTACGTGCAACTTGTTGCGTCTTCAAAGGGATCCGCCGTTTATTTCCGCATTTATTTCCTTATTCGAAGAAAACTGAAATGTAATAACTCGAACAAAATGGATCATATAACGCTCACATGCTGTCGGTTTAACTTCTAACAATGTGGTAGAACTTGTACAGGAAGTTCTTGCGGTTAACAGGCACGTCGTTGAACGCATAAAGTGTGCGTCAATGCAATTCTGATAAATATATTTATCTCGGCGGAAACTATAATGCACGAACGGCACATAGTTATACACAAGAGTAATTGTCTTTGCCGTAGTACATGTATACGTCACTTAATTAAATTACTCGTTTCCAAATAGATCGTTTGACTCGATCGAAGATGAACGTGTAAATTATTGGGCAAAATCGAAGCGTCCTGGAAGTTAAACTAAATTCAAATCAACGAGAAACGTGAAACATCCCTTCAAGTCGCCCGCACGCGGAAGCATATGCAAACTTGGAACGAATGCAAACGTCCTTTGCGAAACTTGAAATCCAACATTTGCGCTCGACTGCAAAGAAAACGGGTGAAAAATTGATGGGAACCAAGAGTAATCTGGCAAGTAAACGCGATACGATCGATTACACCGTGATCGACATTCGTGACATCTTATAAGGTGCTTTGATCTTTCGAACGTCATTGCGCAATTCAACGAACCTGCGGAAGAGAGGAAAGAAAGAGAGAGAGAGAG